ATTATTATTATTATTATTATTATTATTATTATTATTATTATTATTATTATTATTATTATTATTGTTATTATTATTATTACTATTGTTGTTGTTGTTATTGTTGTTTTATAATTGTTGTTTATAATTTGTATAATTAACCTCTCTGTGGTTCGAGCCCGGTCTTGCCGGGTTATTTATTACTTCGACACTCCTGCACTTGGGAGAAGACATCAATCTTTTAGTCGTGTCACTTGTCAACTGGATCTGTCATCTTAACTAGTAGCAAAAGGGTAGACTTAGTTAGTCGATCCACAATGACCCAGATTGCATCATTTCCCCTCTTTCCTCTAGGTAGTCTTGACACAAAGTCCATTGTGATCATCTCCCACTTCCACTCAGGGATTGGTAATGGTTGTAACAACCCTACTGGTTTTCGGTGTTCTACTTTTACTTGTTGGCAAATACTACACTTTGCCATGTAACCAGCCACTTCTTTTCTCATATTTGGCCACCAGTAGTATTGTTTCATATCATGGTACATCTTAGTACTACCTGGATGTATAGTGAACTTAGACTCGAGAGCTTCTCGTAGTAACTTTTGTTTAAGGGCTTTATTGTCAGGCACATACATACGTCACCTCAACATCACTATTCCATCATCACCCATTTGAAAGAGAGTTTCACCCCCCCCGCCCGATTCCAGTTTGATTCTCACTTTTGACACTTTATCATCATGTTGTTATGCCTATAATATTTGCTCTCGATATCCTAACTTCACCCTTAATTGAGCCATTAAGGATCCTTCTAGACTCACACCTAATACTGCCCCCAATCTCTTTAGCTCAATCATGGTTTTCTCATTCCAAGTCGTTGGTCCACCCCTAATAACTTTGTCTTTACGGCTAAGAGCATCTGCGATTACATTCGCTTTTCCTAGATGATAATCTAGAATACAATCGTAGTCTTTAATTAATTCTACCCATTTCCATTGTCACATATTCAACTCCTTTTGCAACATCAGATATTTAAGGCTCTTATGATTCGTGAAAATTTAGACCTAGGATCAGTATAAGTAGTGCCTCCATACTCGTAAAGCAAAAACTACTGCTACCAATTCTAAGTCATGAACTGGATAATTGATTTTATGAGTCTTCAATTGTCTTAATGCAAAGGCAACTACTTTTCCATGCTACATTAGAACAAAACCCAGTCGTTTTATTGAGGCATCACTGTAGACTACAAAGCCTTCTGTTCCAGATGGAAGGATTAGTACGGGGGCAGTAGTAAGCCTTCTTTTCAATTCTTGAAAGCTCTTATCACACTCCTTTGACTACTCGCATCTTATGTTTTTCCTAGTGAGTCGTGTTAATGGAGTTGGTATCGTTGAAAACCCTTTGATAAATCTTCTATAATACCCTGCGAATCCGAGAAAACTACAAATTTCAGTTACCGTAGTAGGCCTTTCCCATCTCAAAACTACTTCCACCTTTTGAGGGTCCATAAAAATGCCTTTCGAAGCCACTACATGCCTAAAAAAGGTCACTTCTTTTAACCAGAAATCACATTTATCCAACTTGGCATACAATTGGCAACTCCTCAAAGTCTGTAGTGTCTGTCTTAGGTGCTATTCATGCTCTTTATAGGATTTGGAGTAAACCAAAATGTCATCGATGAATACGATAACAAACTTATCAAGGTATGGTTGGAATAATCGGTTCATTAAATCCATATAAATGTCATCGATGAATACGATAACAAACTTTGAGTTCTTAGTTCTTAGTGCTCCAGCATTAGTTAATCCAAAGGGTAGCACTAAGAACTCAAACTCAAAGTGTCTATAGTGAGTTCTGAAGGCAGTTTTCAGCATATCTTGCCCCTTGATTCGCATTTGGTAGTATCCTGATCTTAAATCAATCTTTGAGAATACTTAGGCACCCTTTAACTGATTGAACAAATCATCTATCCACGGAAGTGGATATATGTTCTTTACCATCACTTTATTCAGCTGAAAGTAATCTATGCAAAGGCTTAACATTCCATCTTTCTTCTTCACAAATAATACAGGTGCCCCCCAAGGTGAGTTGCTTGGTCATATGAATCTTTTGTCTAAAAGCTCCTGCAATTGAATTTTCAACTCATCCAATTCTTTTGGGGCCATTCTATACAGTGGTTGGGCTATAGGAGACACCCCAGGCAATATATCTATGGTGACTTCAACTTCTCTTTCCGAGGGTAATCCTAGCAATTCTTTCAAAAATACATCTGGAAATTCCCTCACAATTGGAATGTCAGATAGTCCTATTTAACCCTTTTCTGAATTTATCACATAGGCAAGGTATGTTGTACAACCTTTCTTTAGTAGTTTTCTCGCAACCATACCCAAGATCATATTTGGAAAGTTGGAAGTTCTCTCCCCTTTAAAGACCATTGTTTCACCTTTAGCCCTTTGAAAGGTTACTGTTTTTATAAAGTAGTCTAGACGAGCCTTATTTTTACCCAACTAATTCATATCTAGAATTATATCAAAATCACTTAATTCTAGGGGTATTAAATCTACTTTTAGTTCACACCCATTAATGTTAATTCCTACCCCTTCAAATACAACATTTGTTTCCACAGTTTCACCTAAAGGTGTCCCAATTATAAATCCTTTCTCTACCCTTTTTGTTTCCTTACTCAATTTGATTACATTTTCATTTGCTATAAAAGAGTGAGATTTTTTAACATTGATCGAGTTATATAGTCGGACTGTTACAACCCTAGCTCCCCCCTACTCATGAGCACTTGGTCACTTAACTTACATACAAACTATATGACTCTAGATTTATCTAATGAAATCTTAGGGACACCCAAATATTACCTTAAATTTATCATTTTAGCTACGTGTATGGATTTCAGGATCCAACAAGAACTTGGTAACCTTGCAATAAAAAAGAAGAAGAAGATAGCATGCATATTAAGTAAATATGTAGACTTGCATAAGATATAGAAATACAATCCTAGCATGTATACTAAATTTGTATAAAAAAATATACCTAAACAAAACAAATTTTAAGTAATTACTTGTTGAAGTTTTTAGAATATAATTAATCTCTTCTTCTTTTTTTTTTGTTATTGCCAAAGTTAAAATCATTTATTCTTAAGGTTTTATTGCTCCCCACTTTGTGCAAGACAACTCACTCTAATAAGATGGTGTTTGGCTCCATGGTGGCTTTTGCGGTTAGTCCAAACACAATTTTTTATTGTTTGGTAACAACAAGAAGCTGATATTAATTTGTGGACCCCACGTCAATTTTTGAGGTATGGCCGCAGTTAATTTGAAGTAGTTTTAGACATCTTTTCACGTGAAAAGCTGGTTTGAAGACAGTAAACAAACAATTAAAATTTGACAAATTTGTGGTGCTTAAAACCATTGAAAAAATTAGACAACATTATCCTTCCCTTACAAAAACACACCAATGTTACCGTTGCTCTAGAGATTTTGATTCACTTTGTTTTCTTCACCAGAGACTGAAAAATCCCTAAAAGCCATCACTCCTCCAGATCCAAATACCTAGAACTGCATAAGATTTCTATCACCAAACCCCCCAAATTTGTAAAAGCTAGTAAGCTATTACTAGATCACTAAGCTATTACTCCATATTTGTCGTCAGATCCCTAAAACCCATTATTGCGCTAAACCATTAAGACATCAAAACTTGTTTTTCTTCACAATTGTCCCTCCAGCTCCCAAAAAGCCATTATGGAGCCAAACAAAAAGCCATCACTTTCCTTTGTTCTTCACCATAGCTGATAGATCTCTAAGGCTAAGCTCTCCTTAGAGATCTAGTTGCCTTTTGTCCAGATCAACAAATCTCTAAGGCTCATTTTATTTGCTCACCATCCCACACCCCCCTTCATATCAGAGATTGATCTGGTAATTTTTTTTATTTTTTTATTTTTATGTGGTAATGTTGGGGGATAAATCTCCTAAAAAATGTCTTGAGTTCTAACAACTGATATTACACTTAAACATTTAAGGACCTTGTTTTTTCTTCCTCTCTACCTTGTATAAAAAGTGAGTTGTGAATATAGTTTGTTAGCTTTTATTTAAAAAATTACTATAGTGATTTGTTGATTCATTATGTTGTGCTCATCAGTACTATCTCAGCATTATCTCATGTTTTTATTTGTTTAATTAGCTGCTCTAAGTTTGTGCAGCAAAGAGTGTATAAAATTAGTATCACAAATATAAAAAGATATTTCTAAATGCCAAGAATAATATGTATGTGAAAGAGACTTGTGTGGCCTTAGTCTTTTGAGGAGAATTCAACACTTGTATGTAGGTTATGATCTTGGGATTAAAAATGAAGTGAGTTTAATTTATTATTATGGAAAGGGTAGGATGCTCAAATACGGGCACTGTGGAGAGTAGGAAGAGGCACTTTGGCTTGGGATTATAAAGAAAGGGGAAAATGGGGCATCCTTGCACATGGAGCAAGGTCAGATGTGAAGAATACAAAATAACTTTAAGGAGGGCTACGTCTTATTTTAAAGAAAATTTTTGGAGGCAAAAGCATCTTCAATGGCCAAGAGCTCAACCACCAGCTATAGAAAGAGAACCTTTTTGTCCACCTTTGCATGTGATGAGTTTCTGGTTTTGTATTTCTACTTCGTGCGCTTAAAGCATCCCGCATGGACAAACCATTAATTCCCTCCCAGTTCCTTTTTCCAAACCTCTTATTGTTGTACGGTTCTGATAGGTTGAATTTTACACGAACATGGAATTTGGCTGCTTCTGCACCCAGCTGCAACTGTTTTTATGGATTCAAGCTGCTCCCGCAGTTTAAAATGGCTAGCAGGACCAGTAAAAAAAAAACCTTGTGCTATCAGCTTTATCTTCCTTGTTCTGTGTTTATGCATTGATTGCAGTGGACTGGTCAGCTATTTGCTTAAATACACCATTTTAGAACTTGATGCTCTGCCCTCTAACAGTAGCTTGGACTTTGAAATAAAGAACGTGGGCTTCATGCTGATTCCAATGCTGGTACTTTGGACTGAGAGAAAGGGGAAGAGAGGGGTAGGGGGGTGAAGGATTAGATTTATTTTTCATTATAATAGTGTGTTTGTGTGTGTCAGGCCATACTCGATTAATTAAGTTGAATGTGTATATTTTTCTGCTCACTCTACATTTATTAGACATATTTTCAATTTTTAAGCATACATTAGTTGTGTGGAATTTTTTTTAAGCGAGTCTTGAGGTTTTGAATTGAGAATTTGTTGTTGTGTGTTTTGTTTACTATTTAACACCCTGTTATATCAATCAACATTCTAAATTCTAAAGCTAAGAAGAGTTTTCTTTTGAACTTATACTATGGTTCAAAACACTTATTTGTTAATTACAAAACGACGAGAGAAGAAATTGTAGGTCAGCTAAAACTATCGTGTACCTTTGCAAACTTATTTTAGTTTGAGTAAATTCCCCCTTCCCTGTTCTTTGTACTTTTCTCTACTTATTTGTCGCAAGCCTAAAAGTTTTGTAGTTAGAAAAGTATAAAAGAAATAAAAAAATTATAAGATTACCAAGTGATATGAGACCACCCATTGTTGTGTAAATAACTTTCCTTGTTTTTGCATTTCTTGTTTATACTTGCTCTGCTTTTTACAGAACTCCAATATTTGATGAAGATTTGTTGTTCAATGACTAACATGGATTTTTGCTTTTAAATTGGTTACCAATGAATGTTGCATTCGATTTGCTAAGACCTCAAAATTTATTTCTTCCATGATATCAGATATCAACTTCCTCTACTTGTAGCTCGCACTAGTTTCTATTGAAGCTCCAGATATGCTTCAATGTATTTGATAAAGCTGTACACCTTCATGATATCGATCATCTATCTCTAACAATTCAAATATTACTTGGTAAGTCTGTAATTTTGTCTAGTTGGAGTGTATATCATCTACAATGTTGTTGCTCTACTAAAATGATATTAGTGGCAGTAGTTTTGTTTATTAATTTACTTGGCTCAAGTATGTTGTGTACAATAAAATTGGTGCTTGTTTTGTCATACAACCAAGTAGCTTGTACTCAGATTTGTAATGATAATATTTCATTGTTCATGAAGTTCTTTTCAATTTGTTAGTGTATGGTATATCTAGAGAGGTTATGTGTTTTTTATTGTTGATTCATGAACTGCAGTTTATTGATTACAAGGGGTATGAATTTAAAGATGTTGTTATGTCTTGTGTACTATGAATAAACAGATAGTTATTTGAATCAATTGTATTGTTAGTAGCATGCTTTCATTTTTTTAAATTGCAATTTTGATGAAATTCCTATGCATATATCATTTTGCTAGAAAAAAATATTCAATGGAAGGTGCTGAAAGCTCGGATAAAGCATTTTGGAGTAAAGAGATGTTGCATGCATTTTGTAATATTTGTATTGTCGCTATTGAGAAAGGAATGAGGCCAACCACTCATTCCGATAAGGCCGAATGGAAATTTCTTATGGCTGTCTTCAAAGAGAAAACTGGTCTTGCTTTTACTAAGACTGAACTAAAAAAACAAATGGGATGGTGCAAAAAAAGTGTGGAGGATTTGGAAAAAACTGATATCTGAAACAGGAGTAGGATGGAATAATGAACTTGGAACTATTAGTGCTAGTGATGAGTGGTGTAATAAAAAAAACTCAGGTTAGTTATTGATACCCTTGTTTCTTGGATTTATCTTTGTCTTGTCCTATTTCTTAAACTATTTAGCACATTTTATATGGTTTATGCATGTGCTCTTTCATATTTGTTCCATACAGGAAATTAAAGGGTCTAAAAAGTTTAGACATGCTGGAATTGAACCTTCACTTTGCAATAAGTTTGATAGAATGTTCAGCAATATTGTGGCAATTGGACTATGCTTGGGCTCCATCTTTTGGAGTATTATTTGATGATGATATTGTGAATCAAAACACTTAGGATGTTCATGTTAATGAAGAAGAAAATCTAGAGGAAAGGAGTGGTGATTTCGAGGAGGATGTCATTCCCAATTACACAAATGATGTTTGCAATTTAGTTACTGGAGTTAATATGGGAAATAGCAGTACCACAAATAGCAGTGGAAAGAGAAAAACAAAAGAGCAATGCAGTGGGAAAAGTACAAAGAAAAGAAAAAAATCTCATGGAGTTAGAGCTCAAATGCTTAAACGTTGGGATAAACTAGTTGATGATGTTTCGATAAGGAATGATAGTAGGGATAAGATAGGGTGTAGCATTAGTGAGGCGATGACAAAGATTCATTCCATACCTGACATTATTTTTGGTGATAACTTATATTGCTTTGCTACGGAGTACTTGTCTAGGAGGAATAAAAAAGAGATGTGGGCAACAATAGGAGATCTTGATAGGATGTACCAATGGTGTAAAAAATGTATCAGCGAAGTCAAAAGCACTAAATGAAGGTTAGTATTGCTTTAATGATGCTTTCAGTTTTTGTTATTTCCTGAAGAATGATATCGCAAACTTATTGTCAATTGCTTGAACAACTGCATGTTATGAGAGTTTTGTTGTGCTGCCAAATGATGTGCAAGTTTGCAGTAATAAGATATACTTCTAAGGCTGATGTATTGAAGCATGAAGAGTAGTATTGATATTGGTAGAGAACAACTTTTCTTATTTATGTTTGCGGATTGCTAATCTAACTTGTTTACAATTTAATGGAATATTGGCAACACTTGTTGTGGTGTCTGCTGTTATGTTTAAGGATAATTATTATCAGTGGTCTTTGTTGTGTTTATGGATTACCAATGTAACATGTTTTACATGCAATGAAATATTGGTAAACTTCTTGTGATATCTGTTATGATGTTAATAGTGAATTATTATAAATATTGATGGTGAATTGCTGTCCTGGGTAATTGGTTTGCTGTTAATATGTAGAAAATTGTGCAATCCTTAATGAGAATGCACTTTTAAGTACTAATCACTATATTTTCTGAATATTATGTTAGTTTTCTTCCTGGACCAATCAGATTATAACATCTTAAAAGGAATATATATCAGACTTTTGTTTATCCTTACTGTGTGCATTATTAAAAAATGTTAGATCAATTGTGTTTTTGTTGGCCGAAACAAATAAAATAAATATTGTTAATTTCTATGGCTCCTAACAGTATATATTATTATATATTTGTAAGTGTTCAGCACAACACTATTCCAATTGCTTTAGTTTTCTTGATAGTAATTATATAATGTTGCAGATTGAAAGTATATTAGGTGCATACAACTGAAAAGCAAGTCAAACTTAATAAAAACATCACAATAAAGATACTGACACAGTATATATAATGCAAGAAAAGTAGAAAAGGCATAATAAGAAGAGAATGTGTCAGGTATATTGTTACAGTTTGGAAGAGAATATGTCAGGCATATTGCATAGTCATTCTGTCAACCTGCTACAATTTGGTATAGCAAACTTATGAGTGTATATAGGTTAGTTGTTTTATCCCACAATACTTGCAGCCCCCTATATAATATATGTTGTATGTAATTTGAGACATAACTTTAAACACTACAACAAGAAAAACATTCGGTCTTGGGAGCTTTTACAAAAAGTCACACTTTACAGTAAGTTACTCTTATTTGAATCAACTTTTTCAATAGATTAATTATTTTTACAACTTTCATACGGCATGGTGCAGTTTTTTTTTCAATCAACATCCTTTGTGTAATATTTACTAAATATTGAAATGACCTCTTAGATGTGTTTTTTTTTTGGGAAAGTTTCACCTGTAAACATTTCTGTTGCTTTTGCCAAGAATTTGGCAAATAATTCCTCCTGAAAGTATGCAGTTATTTTTTTCCAGGCTGCTTCCTTCTTGGTATTGTGCAATGAATTTTCTAGGCTGTTTCCCTCTTCATTTCCTCAAATGATTGTACTTGATTATTATAATTTAACAAAGTATCATTTCAAAAAACTTTTGCTCCCTATATGTTATAACAAATAATCAAACACAGTCACTATTTTTATACAATTCATAACAGGCATATGCCATAATATTACAATAATAAACATTTTTTGAATTGTTGTTATTCGAGATATAATAATTATATCATGTTAATTATTTATGGTTCGAATTGGTATGACGACAAATGTTTGTAATTGAATTGGTGTAGGTAGATATGGTAGATGAATGGGTTGATGCTATGCTTGGTGTTAACTATGACAACAATTATGATACCGTTATGAATCATGTAATTGATAATATAAATTACCATGGTAGTTGTACCGGTGGTAGTGGTGGAGATGCTAACGATGATAATGGTGATGGTAATGATGGAGTTAATGATGGTGGGGATGATTCAAACGGAATGGATAATGATGGTGATAGTGATGATGATAGTGATGAAAATGAAGACGAAAATTATTCTGATGATGAGGGTGATTCATTTTGGCTACGAGAAAATGATCGTAAGAAGCTGTTGTTATGCACTACTGGTGCTTTACACGTGTATTATGCTACTTATGTGCATAAGGAACCTTGTATGGTCTCATATAACACAGGGATGAGATGGTTGAATGAAGTTGTACGAGGACACCGGAAACGGTGTGTTAACATGTTTAGGATGGATGAAACGACGTTACAAACCCTTTGTTATGACTTGGAAACACAGTATGGGCTGAAACCATCAAGAAGGACAAGTGTTATTGAGAAGGTGGCAATGTTTTTATACACAATTGCATTAGATGCAACAAATAGACAAGTACAAGAAAGATTTCAACATTTTGGTGAAACTGTGAGTTGAAATTTTAATGAGGTGTTGAAGACAATTTGTTTGCTTGTAGTAGATATAATTAAACCACAGGACTCTGAATTTTTAAACACTCCTCGAGAAATTACAATGAATCCAAGATTTATGCCTCATTTTAAGGTGAGTTAGATGTTGTTTATAGCAACCAATGACAAAGAAAACAATATTTAAGATTTGGCTAGTCGTTATTTATGACATGTTGGTTAATGTTGTGTTTTGTCATATTTTGTAGAATTGCATTGATGCAATAGACGACACATATGTTCGTGCTTCTGTTTCCCAGGAAAATCAAGTGTCATTCATCAATAGAAAAGGTGTGCCGACACAGAATGTAATGGCCATGTTATACCCGCATGTAGTTTTGATATGCAATTCACGTTTGTTTGGGCAGGATGGAAAGGTAGCGCTCATGATACTCGTATTTTTCTAGAGGCTATTGACAATCCAAATATCAAATTTCCAAAACCTCCTGAAGGTAAATATATTAAAATAATTCATTGTTAATTAAATTTAAAATATGTGTATTCTATATTTTTTGTTATTAAATTTGTTATAATTTTCTTCCTTGTTATTAGGAAAATATTATTTAGTTGATGCTGGGTACCCAAATGAGTATGGATATCTTGGTCCATATAAAGATGAGAGATATCACTTTCAAAAGTTTCGGCGTCGAGGGCAACCAACCAGCCAAGAAGAGAGATTCAATTGTGAACACTCGTCACTTCGCAATATCATTGAACGTGCATTTGGAGTGTAGAAACAAAGGTGGAGAATTTTACAGAACATGCCAGTATATCCATACAAATCGCAGTGCAGATTGTAGTGGCATCAATGGCACTACATAACTATATTAGGAGGAACTCACAAGAAGATTTTGCATTTACCGAATATGATCGCAATGCTAATTTTATTCCTGATGATATTTTAGTCGATGTTTTTCCATGTTCACAAAGCCAAGGCAACCAGCGGTCTTCTTGAATGAATTATGTCAGTGATGAAATAGCATATAGTTTAATGAGATGATTGAAGAAGAACAATAATGTAAAATTCTTACTTCTTTTATGTGTGAAAAAATGCTCACAAATGCTACTAACAACTTGCAAATTAACACAAGTCCTTCTTGGTAATTTTATTAACAAAAGTACTTTCAAAAGCAACTTAACCAAACACATATTAATTACTTATTAGACAACAATACTTTAAACCATAATTTTAACCAAACACATCTTTTTATATATACACCACAAGAAAGAGTGATTTCTAAAAATCTACTTTTATCGACCGCAAACACAAAAGCCACCACTTTTCCAAACACACCCTAAGTCTCATAGGATTTTAACAACACCATCTTGTTTAAGTACACTTGTAAATAAGGTCCAACAAATACAAATGAATTATACTCAATGTCTTTTTAGAAGGATTGAAACTAAGCTCTAAATTATGAGGAAAGAAAAAAAGGAATAAATCTTAAAAAACTAGAAGATTTAAGATGGAAAATATGTGAAGAAGAATGTCAAATTCTATAGAAAAATCTATCTAAACAATGCAGAAAAACCAACTTAAAAACACTTTTCTTCGTTCCCTTTTATAGATAATTTTAGGAACCAAAAGCTAATATAATTCTCTTATTATTAGCTTTGATTACCGTCTATAAAATTTGAAGTAAACTTAAACATTTGTAACTTTAAATTAGATGTCTTTTGAACTTAAAAGCTGTTCAAATCTACAAAAATCTTCTTAGAAGAAAACTAATTAGTTTAATTATTTATGGACTAGATTAGTATTTCTTTAATGATCATCCAAGCTAAAATTTAAATTAGGATAGAATAATGTTTTGTAGCTTAAAAAAATATTTTACAAAACATTCAAATATTCTTAGTCGAATCAAGCCAAGAGCCAAGTCTCTTTAAATCTCTCCCCTCTAAAAGCTTGAGTTGTATTTGTATTTGGGTAAAATTTTAACTTCTCAACTTTTTTTTTTTTCACTGAAAAATATTAATAATTTCCTAGAAGTTAACTTTGCCTTGGAAAACATACAACAGAGTTTTCATGAGCACGCGATCACAAACATCAAGACCACACGAAACAAGCACGCAAGTTTACGTAAAAATAAAAATACAAGTAATCTATCTTGCCTCTAACACTGAAACTGAGCATACGTTTGCCGAAGGTGGTTTGCTCTCGCTCGATGAATAGCTTGCTTCAACAAGATCCCTTTCAGTGAAAAATCCTGGTTGCTTAGGCTGAGGCAATTCATCTTCATTACCCAACATCAAAACCACATATGACATGTTTGGTCTATCTTCTGGATTTTCTTGCACACACAATAGCCCCACGTGAATTGAACGTAGCACTTCAGATAAATAGGGTGTTTCAACTTTTGATCCCGCAGCCAGTTCCAGAGGCCTGCCTTGTTTGAACAGTCTCCATGCCTGATAAACAAAACCATGCTATTAATGACACATTGAGGATTTAAAAGTGTTTGAACAGTCTCATTAAACATGTGCGGACATATCTGTGACACCTACATGCCCAATAAGGTTGAGGTGGTGATCTGGATGATGGAATCCTCTGTTCTTAAAGCCACTCACTATCTCTAGCACCAATACTCCAAAGCTGAAGACATCTGATTTGAGTGAGTAGAGTCCATAATTTGCGTACTCTGGAGATATATAACCACTGCATGTATTCATGGAATTTCAAGTTCCATTTTCAGACTATGAAGATAAAATGCGTATGATGGAGATGACACTGACTACGTTCCAGCCGCTTTATTAGTGTTGGCTTCAATTTCATTTTCTCCAAAACTTCTAGCCAGGCCAAAGTCTGAGATTTTTGGATTCATTTCGTAATCCAACAAAATATTGCTGGTTTTCAAATCTCTGTGGATTATTCGTAGTCTGTGGCTTCAGTTTCATTTTCTCCAAAACTTCTAGCCAGGCCAAAGTCTGAGATTTTTGGATTCATTTCGTAATCCAATAAAATATTGCTGGTTTTCAGATCTCTGTGGATTATTCTTAGTCTCGAATCTTGGTGAAGATAAAGGAGTCCTCGAGCAATCCCGTTGATGATGTTGGAGCGCTTGGGCCAATCTAGTTGCAAGCTTCGAGTTTCATCTGTCCAAGTCAATCCATTACATCTCTTATCAGATTCATAAATGGAGATGATAAGTTACGATCAATGAATTTTGAGTTACAATTACATATGCATATATGGCAGAATTTGTCAGCATGAGAACTCTTCCCCTACAAAGCCACCTTCCCAGGGGCTTTGAACGATGCTCAATAGATGGCTAAACAATTGATGTCAGATCCATTTTGGAAGCTCAATAGTGCTAGATTTGAAACATTGGAATAGCTTTTTGAAAAGTTTTGTGAGATTCATACCAAAAATGTAGAAGTCCAAGCTTTTGTTAGGCAAAAGCTCGTAGACCAACATATTTTCATGTCTTTCAATGCAGCATCCAAGAAGCCTCACTAGATTCCGGTGCTGAAGTTTCACGATATGTTTGACTTCATTTTTGAACTCATCAAGTCCTTGTCTTGAATTCTCAGAGAGCCTCTTGACAGCTATTTCTCGTCCATCTGTTAATGTTCCCTGTAAAGAATTACTCAGCATCATAAGCAAATCATGCGTTGTCTGCTGAATTCTCTGAGAATTTCATGCAGCTTGTATCTGTTCAGGAATTCTATCAAATCAGTCATCCTTTGATACTAATAAAAGGTTGGTTCTGTAGTGGAACAATTTCAATACCACAGGACTCCATTGGTGCCTGGAGTTTGTACCATGAAAACTCAGAAGCTATATTGCATGACTTTTTATGGATAATTATTACCTTATAAACAGGTCCGAAACCACCTTCTCCTAGTTTATTGGACACAGAAAATTTCTTTGTTGCGCAAGCCAACTCATCCATGTTAAAGAAGGGTAATTCTAGTTCTTCCTTCAAGTCCTTGTTATTTGATCTTCTTTGCAAATTACCTGTCATTTTTCTAGTCAGCATAACCGTTATGCTTGTTGAAAAAATAGAATGAAAGACAAAAGATCTCTATTTGCTGCTACTCTCAAGATTTTTGTAGCATCAAACACAACGGTGCTTTGAACAACTTACAGCCATACCTTATATTACTGAAAATCAAATTTAATTTTTTTTATTTATAAAAACCAATCTTGATATCTGATAATCCAGGACTGGTGCGATAGGAATACTTAGATTTTGATGGTGTGAATACGTACTGTTTTTCTGCTGCTTCTTTTTCCAAACATACAAGACCAAGCATAGGCCAACGAACAGAACCCCAAAAGACAACACTGAGCTTACTATGATCCTTTTCTTCATTTTGGATTTGGTATTAACCTTTGCCGAGTCACCGTTATCTGTAACATGGTACAGAAAAACTGGTGTTAAAAAGAGAAAATGCCAAATGCCTTTTGTATTTGTTTGGTTAGTTATTATGGCTGGAAAGCTTTCATTGGCCATATGTGATCATTCAATTTCAGCTTTCTACTCATTCATTATAAAACAGTATCATTTTGGGTACGCTCAGAGACTAAAACAGAAGTAAACTCTGTCGCTGATAGCCTTGCAAGGAAAGGCTTGGATATGCTCAGAGACTATATAGCTTGGTTTTAAGATTTTTAAACGTTGTATCCTTTTGCCAATAGCTTACTAGTTTTCTATTTGAATATATTTCGAATTTTAATAATATTAATAAGAAAAAAAATGACTTATCTAATCTGAGGATAAATGCATACCTAGTTCTGATGCAGCCATCCGTATAAAAATGTCTTGCTCAATTTGAGGGAATGTTCTCATATCAATCAAATCATTGAACCAAAGCAAGCAACCACTTCCTCCACTCCTGATGTCCAAGTTGGCATACGCAGTACAGCTGCAGTTCTTCAAGCATGTGTTCTTGCACTCCTCCAGGTTCATACTCCTGTTGAACCATGATTTTCTTGTCTCCGGCATCTTCAAACCTCTGAGCTTCCGAAACCCATCTCTGGAACAATTTAGTGCAGTCTTTCTAACGCAACCACTTGACCAATCTGTCTTCTTCCAGTCTCTTGGAACTTTTGGTACAAATCCATTCAAGCAATCGCAAACTGGAGAGTGGTCAATGCTACAGACACCATTTGCGCCACAGAGGTTATAACGCTCACAATTATCTGTATTTACTGTTGCGTAAAGAAACCAGCTTTGGGTTTGCTCCATCCACAGAAGGAGCTGGAGATCACCATTCTGAGTTGCGACGGCTCTCCAATGCGTTGAGTTATTGACAAGAGTTTCTCTGTAAAATATCTCCTTATCATTAAAAACAAATTCAAATGTGTATATTGGATTTGGTTTTAACCGAGGCAATCCACTGAACCCCACACCATTCCATGGCCCAGCTCGATACTTCACATTTGAATCTTCCACCGCTGCATACTCAGGATATCCACCAGGAATAAGCATTATTGAAATATTACCTCTGGAAGGATCATCTGATGACTTCCATGATGTCAAGTACCAGTCCATGCCAGTTATTCTATTCCGTCCTAGCTTCAAGCCCGGAATAAGTGTGTTACCTGGATGTTCAAAACTCTGCCACAAGGAATTTTCGGGGTTATTATCACCCTCCTCTCTGACAACTAGGTTTCCTGAATCCAAAAGCTTTGCAACTGGATTCCTAGCAG